TTATGAATTTGTCTCAAATGCTAGTAAGGAGAGAGTCATCATAAAAGAAACCATTTTTCTTTGTGAAGCTGTTCATCTAAAGTGCCTAGATGGAAACTTCCTGAATACCTGATTGAAGGAATATGGTTTCACTTTCTAAGCTTACTTCATTTTATACTATCAATCATATGTTTCTGAAACACTATTAATACTTTAAAAACTGTTTAGGCAGGAAATAAATTGTCTCCTTGTCCTAACATGGTAGATAAGTATTCTGAAGGAAGGTTTGAAAACCAGGAAATGGTGACACAGCCACCTGAAGAGGGCCTCAATTCAAATGTTAAAGTGAAGGGGATGAAAACATCCCTGGTCCCTCATCCTACACCCCAGCTGTGCCTTTGACCACAACTGAAGGCCTAAAGTCACATCCTGTGTAACTCAATGGGAGCTCTACTTACAGAATTGTTTCCTCGGGCAGGTGTTTATTATTGGTTAGTGTATAACTCAGCAAAGTATACTTTTACTGAGTGTTGTGAATATTTGATAACTTGTAAATTAAAATATATTAAATTCCCTTTTGCACAAAAATGTAACTATAATAATGGAAATTAGAAAGCACATACTAGTTTACTATAATCCTAACTACATTTATAATTTTAATTTAGAATTTTATACATGAATACACTGTATTTGTATCATTTCTTCCCTGCTCCTTCTACCCTTTCCAACTCCTCCCATGTCCCCTCTACCTTGAAGTCATGACCTGTTCCATAATTATTGTTAAGTTTTGTTTTGTTTAAAACAGGGTCTCATTGGCCGGCATTGAACTTGATATGTAGATCAATCTGGTCTTGAACTCACAGAGATCTGTCAGAGTGCTGAGAATAAAAGAATGTATTGCCACCATGCCTGACACAGTTGTTATTCTGTGTGTATAAAACCTACTGTTGTTGTGTGTATACACAACCTGCTGAGTCCATTTAGTATTGCCAGTATGCACATGTATTTAGGGCTGACCACTCCAGCCTGTATAACTTACTGGGGTCTTGTCCCTGCAGAAAAAATATTTTTCCTCTCAGCAGCCGTTGGCTGCCTTATGGCTCTTGTAGGGGTGAGGTGTCAGGAAACTTTCTCCATCCACATTGGCATGTTTAGGCAATCATATTGCTTCGATATCATGGACCAGTCATGTCTAGAAGACTCTATCTTCTATCAGGGTTTCTATTGGTGTGATGAAACACCAGGACCAAAAGTAAGTTGGGGAGGAAAGGGTTTATTTGGCTTACACTGCCACATCACTGTTCATCATTAAAGGAAGTCAGGACAGGAACTCAAGCAGGGCAGGAGCTGATGAAGAGGCCATGGGGGCAGGGGCTATTGCTTACTGGCCTGCGAAGCCTGCTTTCTTATAGAACCCAGGACTACCAGCCTAGGGATGGTACCACCCATAATGGGCTGGGCCCTACCCTATCAATCACAAATTAAGAAAATTTAATTTTTTCTTTCTTTCAGGCTTGCCTATAGCCCATCGTTTGGAGGCATTTTCTGAACTGTGGCTCCCTCTGTGATGACTCTAGCTTGTGTCAAGTTGACCTAAAACTAGCCAGGATAGCCATAGTGTAGGAACTTGCGGTAGATGTACCAGCTGGGGTCTGGAACCCCATGGTTCTTTATGCTCTGCATTTTGACCTTCTGTGGCTTTCTGCAGTAGCCTCCATCTGCTGCAAAGGAAGCTTCTTTGATGAGAGCTGCACTCATCTGACTGTCACTGCTAACTACCTACTTCTAAGTCCCTGGCTGTTCTCACTGACGTCCTCTGGGTTTACGATTTTTGGGGAGTTTATTAGAGTTGAAGATTACATTTTAAGTTTTTTTTTTTTCCCCCGTCTTGTTTTGTTTTTGAGGTGGGGTCTTATTCTTAGCCTAGCCCAGCTTGGACTACATTGTAGTTCAAACTAAGCACAGTCCTGCTGTGACTAACCTGCCTCAATCTCTGGATGCTGGATTATAGGCATTAGCCTATTCAGCCTGGCTGGGCATTTATTTTTGAATCCCAGGCCAGTCCAGGTACTCGTAGAGAATATTTGTAAGTGCAGAGGAGGAAGAGCATCCTTTGAGTTTGATCACCTCATTGGGCTGAGTTTCATGGGTTCCTTTGATACCGATAAAACCCAGATGCTGTTGACTAAATAGGATGCCTAGAGTCTTTATAACATTAAATGTAAACTGTGGAAGCCACCCTGAAGAGTTTGTTTGGACCAAGTGTAAACTAGACCATTCAGTTGCTCACTTTTGTACTTATTTGGGGAAATGCACAAAATAAATAGTGTATTTGTCTTAGTGAAATTCATTCCCTCTTGATTTTTATAGTATGTTGAATTTTCTCTCTAAATAATTAATTAAATCATGGTGGGTGGTTTTGACACATACCTTTAGTTCCAGTACTAGGGAGTGGATCTCTCTGAGTTCGAGTCTAGCCTGGTATATAAGGACAACTAGGGCTACAAAGAAATGCTGTCTCAAAACACAAAAACAAACAAACAAAAATCTTATTGATTGACCATGAATCATCGAATTCAGATTTTATTTTCCTGGGAATGTAAATTTCTTGAACATTCATTCAATCATTTCTTCATAGAAGCCAATTGCTGTTAACAATCTGAGCCTAGACAGTTTTCAAAGGCTTGGTTTTATAATTATAAATGGCTAATGGTTCATGGATTAACTATAAATCTTGATTTGTTTTTCTAATGAATAGGCAGTTCAGCCAAGGCAAGGGCATTACAGGTTATATATTACTATATAACCAATATTTTCAATAGGTTATATATATTATTTGTATATATATATGTATATGCATATATATATATATACACACACATACATATATATGCATTATACACACATAGTGTGTGTGTGTGTGTGTGTGTGTGTGTGTGTGTGTGTGTGTGTGTGTGTTAAAACAATGCTTTCTAACCTAGACTGGCCTGTAACTCACCATGTAGTCCAGCATAGCCTTCTGTTTATAATCTTCCTGTCTCAGCCTTCTGAGTGCTGAGATTCTAGGCATATATCACTTACTTGACTAGTATATTCATTTTTTTTAAATGAAGGTCACATAAAACAGATTTCTAGAAGATGTTAGGTATTCAAGTTAAGAATACTATCATTGCCAAGCATGGTGGTGCATGTGAACCTCTGATCTTAGCTCTTGGGGTACAAATGCAGCAGGATCAGGAGTTTGATGCCAGCCTGGCTAAATGACAAGATCATGTGTCAAGAAAAAAGTGGAGAGATGGTTCAGTGGTTAAGAGCATTGGCTGCTGGACACATGGGGAAGGGCCTAGTCCTGGTCCAGGATGATGTGGTAGACTTTGGGGAGCCCCTTTTGAGGGCCTTACCCTGCCTGGGGAGTGGAGGGGGGATGGCTAGGGGCAGGTGGGATGTTGG